GGTGCGTGCCGCTATGTTAGCTCGGCGTGAGCGTGGTTTTTGGTTGTGTGTTGACGGGAGGTGGGGCCAACCACGAGAGGCGGAATGGTGTAGTGTTGCATTTATGGATCCCAGGTCACGTAAGATACTTCACTGTGTGACGGTGTCGAGATCCCTGCTAAAGGTATCGTCCACTGAGCTAGAGGGTCGGGCATTTTCTAAGGGACTAGAAGACCTGAATAATTGGGGGTTTCCGGTGAAAGGTATCATCACTGTTGACGGGGCGAGTTTCAAAGCCGTAATCATTAAGACAGACCTTGAGCACCAGATGGACGTGTGGCACAAAGGACGTTCGTTATCACGGAAGTTTGTGAAGCACTTTGTGAATGCACGAAAGGCCGCACTATCCACCAAAGACGCGAGCACTGCTGAGGATCTGTGGGATGTAAAGCTCGATGATCTCAGGGCCTGGTTGCGAGAACGTCCAGGTCATGGCTTGAAGGGTCTACATAGAGCGCCAAAAAAGGAACTGATTGGTGCTGTTTGTCGTGTTCGGGGCTGGACTTTTGTGGATCTCTCCGGCGATAGCTCGCCGTATTTGTACCCAGAGATGCGTCGTGTAGCGTATGTGCGGAGTGGGCGCAGTAGAGGTTCGACCTGCACCTCGTCTGATGCCATGTCGGTTGGTCCTGATGGATGTTGCACGGTGGAGGGTTTGTCACGGGAGGTTGTGGATGTGCCTGTTGCACAATCTCAGCACATGGAAGGCGGGGATAAACGGGTTACGAATGAAGCGTTGAAAGGGTTTGTTGCGATTGATATTTTGGATGATGGTATTACAGAGAGTACGGCGGATCCAGGAGGGGTGGATTTACAGTACTCCGACGTGAGAGAGTTGTGGGGATACGATCCACATCCAGAGCATGGAGTGCGGCCAAGCTCTGTGGTGTCGTTCTTCCTCATGCAGGCAGCTGCGTCAAACCATGCCGATGCAACTCGTGGCATGACGGGTGCCGCGACACGAACCAGCTCAACTTTGGGACCGCCAGGTGAGGCCTGAACATAGCTGGTCCTTGCAGTATTTGTGTTTCGCTTTGATTACATCCACAGCTCTAGTTTGATGCAATACAAGGGCCTCTGCCTTGAATTACACAATACCAAAACCCCCATCCCAAATCTGTTGTTTCCTAAGGTACTAATGGTGACAGCACCACGGTGGGAGGTGAGGGCAACACTGCGCCGTCCGGTGGACCACGTCGCTGGGTGAATAAGCGACCCCGCAGTGGGAAGAGGGGAGCAGACGATTCGCTTGATGAAGATGGCGAGGAGCAGAGTGGGGTAATCGAAGAGATGACGGTGGCACAGCGATTCAGCGTACACTTCCATCACGTGATGGCACGTTGTGCTACACTCTGGCGAGCAGGCAGGCCGATGTCGGCGCAGGACGTTGCTGATGAGATTGCTGTTGCAGCCGAGCATTGGGCTGGAGATCATTCACGCTGTGGGCGGGGTTCCGAGAGGCCAATATGCGTGAGAGAGAAGTGGGGTGCTGAAAGTGCATTGTATAAGCCTGGTTCGCGCACGCACCTTGCTTTCAGAAAGTGGTTGAGTGAGAACTGTGGGGCTGAGGAGATGAAACCATACGTGAGTGGGGAGTGCAATTGGATGAATGAGTCATTTCATTCATTGATTTGCAAGTACGCTCCGAAGCGCACCTTGTTTCGCGGAAGCATGCAAGCAAGGGTTGGATTGGCCGTAATGCACTGGAATCATTCTTTGGAGGGAGAGGTCCGAGCGACCAAAATCAGAATGCAGCGTGCAACTAGGGTCCGACGGGGAAAGACATCCCGGACCTTAGGCCTTATGGATTGGACCTGGGTGGACGATATAATGCGGGATTGGAACTGCATGACACATGACCCTGTGACGAGTCCTATCGGATCCAACATCGGTGCTGCTGCTCCTTCCACTTCCCAACCACCCAACAAGCGAAGGCGTACCATCACCAACGGATCATCTGAACCTCGACGTACACTCTTTGGTAAGTCCCCCTATATGTCTCAACGCGTATTTCGGTGTATTATACATGCAAGTAGACAGTACATTTGCAATGTTGTGAGTGTGCATAATAACTGCGGTTGTAACAATTGACCTCCTTTGGGTGTTGTTTGCAGGGGACGTCTCCAACGTCATATAATAGTACCTGGTGAGCAGCATGCAACATTGGGAGATTGCGCCCGTATGTGAGTTCCAGTCTCACCCATTCCATATCCATGGCCCCTGACTACCGCCCAATCGACGCCTCATATTCACGCCTCGTGGGTCGCACTACCCATCTACTCAAGTATGGATTGGTTTGCATTGCCTGCTGCATGCTGCGCCGAGCTGCATCCCTTGCTCTTTATGCGTCTGTGCAAGTGTTTCTATGCTGCTTTGGCCGATGACTACCATTCCAACGACCCCTCCTGCTCCTTCCTGGTGCGTCCCTCCCTTGCTACCCCTTTCTGCTGGGTCTGCCTTGCTGCTTGCTGCTTTCCCAATGTGGATCTGGACTCGCTGATAGGCACCTTGCCTTCCCCCCCCCACACCACTCTCATTGGCCTTGCACGGGTGTATCTGCACTCACTCGGCACAGGTCTTTCTGGTTCAGACTTCCACCGCATCCCACCCCTGATTGCATTCTCACTCAAACTGTATTACATCCAGCTGCGCTGCTGGAGCTTCCGAGGCTGGCTCCAAGCCAACGGACACGACCCGAACCTGCATGAGGCAACGGAGAAAAGCGGCAGGAGAGAGTGGGGAAGCGGGAAGCAGCAGGAGGGAAAGGATTAGAGCAAAAGGAAAGATGGGGAAGGGAGGAAAGAGGAGGAAGCAGGGGAGGATAGGGGAGAGTGGAAGGAGCAGGGGAAGAGAGAAGAGAGGAGGGAGAGGGAAACCAGGTGGGACATGGAGCAGTGGAGACGTTGAGGGTTCAACTGAGCATGCAGTACACTCAGGAGAAACTCGCCCTCTTGGGATCCTATGTGGGGAAGGTGAGACTTGCCCTCTTTCCTGGCCCTTCTCAGCCCGTTCCCACAAAATCAATTCCACCTCGCTTGCTTCTCTTCTCTGTGCCACCTCCCTCCCATCCCCTCTCTCCATCCCCCCCTTTCACCCTTCCACTCCTCTCCCCATCCATTCTTTCCCTTTCCCATCTTCTTCCTATCCCTCCACTCCCCATCCCCTCCTCTTCTCATCACCTCCTCTCCCTGCCCCCTCTTCTTCACATCCCCTCGTCTTCCTGTCCTCTTCCTGTCCCTTCCTTCCTCCATCCCAGCGCCCCTTCCCTCCATGTCCTCCCCTCCTTCCTTATTCCTTCCTGCCACCCTTTATCATCCCCACTTTCCTCCCCAGCCTCTCTTCCTCCTCTCCCTTCTGCTTCTCTCCCCCATGTCCTCCCTACCTCCCTTCTCCCCATCATCACTACCTCCCTCCCCCATTGCATTCCTCGCTTCCATCCTTCCTCCGATCCTCCTTTCTTCATTTTTACATTCCTCCCTTCATCATTTCTCAGCTGTCATTCTTTCGGATGCTTGCTTCCCTGCTACTTCACCCACGTCACATCTGACTTCCTGGTTTGTGTTCGCGCAGGTCTTCTCTGGATGTGGTTGTGATGTGTTGGCTGTTTGATACCAAACGACATATAGACGTGCCATGTATTGGATAGTTTTTTATGATACAGCATTATGTGCTTCAAAGCAGTTCTACACATGACCACTGCTTAGGGGTCCAACAACCATTATACTAGTGATATTTGTACGGTACAAGGGGAATAACTCATTTTTATATAATAAAAAATCTGGGGGGAATGTTATGTTGCTTCCCGGTTTTGTCCGCTACACTGCGATCAATATACCAGGCCGTGGTAAAGCCACAACATCTGCTGCTGGGCACATGTACCCTGCATTGGGGGATATGGTGAGACGGGGGGAAGAGAGGAAGCAGTGGGAAACAGAGTGAGCAGAAGTGAAGAGAGTGAGCAAGGGGGACGAGAGTGGGAAGAGAAGGGGGGGAGGGAGCACTGGTGAAACAGAATGAGCAACCCTAAACAAAGTGGTGGGGGGGAAGAGAGCGAGCTGGTTGGAAGATAGTGAGCAGAATGAAAGAGGGTGAGTAGCGGGGAATATAGTGAGCAAGGTGGAAAAAGAGGAGGGGGAAGAGTGTGAAAAGGGCGAAACAGAGTGAGCAAGGGGAAATAGAGGGAGCAAGGGAATGGGATGGGAGAAGGGGATGGGGGGACAACAGAATCTCAGGACTAGGAAAGGAGGGGGGGAGGATTACAGGTCAGGGGGGGAGAGCAGAATCTCAGGCCTGGGAAGGCAACACAGAATTTCAGGTCAGGGGGTGCACCAGCATTTTTCAGGCCAGGTGGGTGAAACACAGAATTACAGGTCAGGGAGGGTGAAACTAAATCTCAGGTCAGGGCAATGCATTGCGTGGAACCTGTGTGGCAGGGCGATGCCGCACTGGGCCACTCTACAAGCGACGGTCGTGTGATGGTGCCTTCCCTTGCGATGACGAGCGGCGGGGGGCGAGGAGAGACTTGTGGCGGACCGGCAGTTTCAGTGCGGCGTCCTGTCGCTTACTTTCGGGAGGCGCCACCTCTCGATAGGCGACGCCATGAGCGGGAGAAGGGGGGAAATGAGTGGGAGAAAGGTTGGGCATGACAGGGAGCAGGGGGGGAAATGAGAGGGCTGACGGATGGAAATGAGGAGAAAGGGGGGCAATGAGCGGGATAACGGGGGGATACGAGAGAGAGAAGGGGGGGAAACGAGAGGGAGAAGGGGGGGAAACGAGAGGGAGAAGGGGGGGAAACGAGAGGGAGAAGGGGGGGAAACGAGAGGGAGAAGGGGGGGAAACGAGAGGGAGAAGGGGGGGAAACGAGAGGGAGAAAGGGGGGAGATGAGAGGGAGAAGGGGGGCAAATGGGCAGGTGAATGGGAGGGAAACGAGAGGGGGAAAGGGGGGGAATGATGGGGAGCATCAGGGGAGAGGGAGAAGGGGAGGAAACGAGAAGGGGAAAGGGGGGACATGCGAGGGAGCAAGGGGGCGAATGAGAGGGAGAAGCGGGGAGAAAAAGGAGGAGAAGGGGGGGAAATGAGAGGGAGGAAGGGGGGAGGGGTAATGGGGAGACGGGGAGGGGAAACGGGGAGGCGGAAAGGGGAAATGAGGAGGCGGGGAGGGGTAACGGGGAGGTGGGAAGCGGAAACGGGGAGCGGGAAGGGGAAACGGGGAGGAGGGAAGGGGAAATGGGGAGCAGGAAGCAAAATCGGGGAGGCGGGAAGGGGTAACGGGAAGACGGGAAGGGGAAACGGGGTGGCGGGAAGGGGAAACGGGGAGGCGGGAAGGGGAAATGAGGAGGCGGGAAGGGGTAACGGGGAGGTGGGAAGCGGAAACGGGGAGCGGGGAGGGGAAACGGGGAGTGAGAAGGGTCGACGGGGAGGCGGGAAGGGGAAACGAGGAGCGGGACGGGGAACCGGGAAGGCGGGAAGGGGAAACGGGAACGGGACGGGGAAACGGGGAGGCGGGAAGGGGAAATCGGGAGCGGGAAGGGGAAACGGGGAGGCGGGAACGGGAATTGAGGAGGCGGGAAGGGGTAACGGGGAGCGGGATGGGGAAACGGGGTGGTGGGAAGGGGAAACGGGGAGCGGGAAGGGGAAACGGAGAGGCGGGAAGGGGAAACGGAGAGCGGGAAGGGGAATTGGGGAAGCGGGAAGGGGAAACGGGGTGACCGGAAGGGGTCCTGGGGATTGGAAAGGAGAAACGGGGAGGCGGGAATGCGAATTGAGCTGGCGAGAAGGAAGACGAGGCGGTTGCACGGGGTTGGAAGCTCCCGTTTCTGCTGTCGTTCGCGCACTCAAGTGCGGCTGCTGGGGCTAGTGCGGAAACGTGGTAATTAGGCAGGCGCGATAGGGCCGCGACTGTGATAGTGCGTGTTCGGCTGTTTGAGACGACACGACGGACGACGAGGAGAGGCCGTGAGAGGAGGTCCCGCGGGATCGCCGCGTGAAAGGGAACCACTGACGTTGGTTGAAGCCTATAATTACAAGAAAATGCCCCACGCATTTAGGTTTGTGACGAAAATTTGCAGAATTTGCGCTGGCTGTTGAGTCGATGTGCTTAGCTACGTAGCATGCCGGCTGAAGAGCGTGGTGGCGTAGATCTCACAAAGGCTCGATTTCGTATACTTTTGTCGATCCGAAAGTTTTGAATCACCAGCAAGTGCTGGGTGTCGGGGAGATCTCCCTCCCTTGTTCAGCGAGTGAACTTGCAGGTAATCGAGTTACCAATATTTCAAAATTTTAAAGTTTTGAACCTCCCTCTTTCAAATGTATACAAAAGCTTTAATGTTCAGGGCATTAAGGCCATATGCCCTTGAATCGACAGCCCTGCCCCCCACCCAGCGATATTCCCTTCTCGCAGTGCAACCACCACAAACACACCGCCGTGCTCACATTACGACATATCCTTCGTGCACCTCATCTTATCCACTCTGGCTCTTATTTATAGTTGACTGAACACCGTCCCCGCCGGCGTCGCGGGTCTAGGCCATTTGCTCGTAAAATGCTGTAACCCTTTTCATGCATGCGTAAAAGATGTCCAGTAACCGACAGATGGTTTCGCCTGATGGTTTCGCCGATTCTATCGCGAGCGACATGGCAGGGGCCATTTCCGTCGCCAGGCAAACATCTCCAGAGCAACACACGTTGTCCGCTTCTGACAACTTTGCTAACCCTAATGGTCTTGCCAGTGCTAGCGCTGGCGGTTTACCTTATCCCGCTTCACAGCAACGGTTTGTACCTTCAACGTACGATGTTATATCGGGTGCTCCAACAGGTTCTATGGAATACCCGACAGCAGGATTCGAAACCGAACCTCGTCGCTCTCCCCCCGATCGCATGCTTCCCGACGCCAGCCGCGGCAGTCCCGCAACTCAACGGGGCGGGGGCGGGGCAAGGCGCGGGGGAGGTGGGCTTGTTGGCGGAAGATACGGAGCAAGAAGTGGCGGTGTGGGGGATGATTATGGCAGGTGGGAAGGCGCTCAACCAACAGGGATGATTCAGCAGCAGCAGCCGCCGCCGCAGGCACGGCAGCAGAGGCCGCATCAGCATCGGCGCGCAATGTCCGTCAGCGCCGTTGGCGCGTTCCAAGGGGGCGGCTTGGATGGAAATGGATGGGACATGGGAATGGATGCGGGCGGAACCGCTGTTATTGCGGAGGACCTTGTGCGGGGGGTTGGCGCGGGTTCCGCCACCGCTGCTGGCGCGCCCGCGGGAAATGCCCGACACGGTCGTGGCAGGGGCGCTGGGGGGAGTCATATTGCGGTGTCTCCCCGCGGGGCTCCGCCGTACGCAGGAATGTCGCGCGGAGGGGGAGCTGGGGGAAGGATGGGGAGGGCGCAATCCATGGTCGCGGGAAGAGGACCTCAGGCTCGGCCCCATACCGGAAGCTCAGCTTCTGGGCCTTTTGGCTCGACAGGAATGGACTCAGTGAGACATGCAGGGATGAGCATCGGCGCCCCTGGTTCGGGGTCCCCAAACAACTTGCCAGGTGCGGTACTGAACCAAATGGGTGGGGCGGCACCGTGGCAGTCGAACCGAAGCATTTCCTTCGATGGGCCACGGGGGGAGAGCCCCGGTAAACCCACGCCTGGGTCGTTCCCGCGAAGCAACACCTCTCCCCTCCCCAGCCAAGTTCCCCCTGGGGGCGGCGCAGGGGGAGGGGGAAGCCCCAGTAGCGGGATGCGGGTGCTGGGAGCGGGAGGGGCGGGGATAGGGGGAGGGGGGATGGGGGCGGGGATGGGCATTGAAGAGCATGAGATGGAAGGGCAGGATGTGGAAGGGGGCGTTGTGGGGTGCGGCATGGGCGGGGGTTCATTGGCTGCCCAACACGCACAAATGCAGCACCTGCAGCAGCAGCAGCCACTGCAGCAGCAGTCGCCTAGGAGGCCAGTGCACCGCAGAACAGCTTCCACTCCCCCTGAGAATCTCGTGCCTGCTACAGCTGCTGCTGCCAGGCCCGCATTCGCTGCCCCTGCTGCTACTTCTGCTGCAGGCGCTTCTGGCTCTACTGCTGCTGCTGGTGGTGGGATGAGAGCACCCGGAGCGGCTCCCGGTGCGTATGGGATAGCAGCGTATCCGCAGTCGCAGTCGCAACAGCAGCAGCAACAGCAGCAGCAGGGGGTGAAGGGCAAGGGCGTAATGCAGGGGCAGATGCGTCGACCCAGCAGCGCATTGCCGATACAGCAGGGTTACCACCAACACCAACACCAACAGCACCAGCAGCAGTGGCAGCAGCAGAAGCAACAGCAAGGCGGGTACGACCACTTGTCTCTGGACCAGCACGATAGCTTATCAGATGATGACTCAGATAATGATTCTGATGACTCAGATGATGACCATGGGGAGGCAGCCGTGGCTACTCCCCTGCATGCCGTTCAGCCCAGATCTCTGTCCGCGGAGGGAGGTGAAGCAGGGGGAGGTGTCATTGGGGGAGGTCGGTCTGGTGCTGCTGAGGGGTATGGCCGAGGGGCGAGTGGAGTGGGGCGGGGAGGAGGAAGGGCAGCAGCGGGTAGGGGAAGAGGGCGGGAACCGATGGCAGGGGCAGGCAGGGGCTCAATTGGCCGTGGAGGAGGAGGAGGAGTTGTTATGGCGGGGCGAGGTTTGGGGGGAGCGGGAATGGGAGGGGCAGGGGCAGCAGCACAGCGGCACAGGCGCACACAATCAGATGTGGTTTTCACAGGCGTGCAAGGGGGTGGGCAGGGGGGCTTGCAGGGAGGCATGCAGGGAGGCATGCAGGGAGGCGGGCAGGGGATGCATCTTCAATCATCTGACGGCCCATACAAGCAGGCAGGTGCGCATGTGATGAAAGGGACGGGGAGGGGCGCAGGTGGGGGAATGGGAGGGGGGATGGGAGGTGCGACAGGGGCTGTGGGTGGAGCAGGAAAGGCTGGGGCGGTTGCTGGTTCTGGGTCAGAATTTGGGGGGTTCTATGAGAGTGCGAATGTGGGATTCTCGGGCGCACATGGCACGAAAGGCACGCAGGGCTCGCAGGGGATACACGGTCCACAGGCGTCCATGGTGAGTCCCCGCAGCCCTCGCATGGGTGGTTTTGCAAGAGCAGGCAGCGCAAGGCAAGGCGGAGTGCAGCAAGGGGGTGGCCACGCAGGAGGATACGGGTCGCACGCAGGGGGACCAGGGCCGCACCTAGGAGGGCCACAGCAGCAGCAGCGGCAGTCGAGCATGGTGCCTGTGAGCCCCAGAGGCGTTCCTCTTGTCAGCCCCAGGCACGGCACAGGCATGGCAGCAGCAGCAGCAGGAGCAGCAGCAGGAGGAGCGGCAGGGGGCGGGGGCATGCCTCCTCGCAGCCCCAGGGGCCTCGCCTTCCCTCTATCCGCGTCCACGCCCACCCATCCCTTCTTCGCCAGTCCCACACGCTCCTTCAACAGCCCCACGCGCTCCCTCGGCAGCCCCTCGCATTCCCCCGGGCCCGCACGGGGCCCCCTGGGCGCTAGATCCATCTTTGGAATTGATCGGCGCTTTGGCAGCTTTGTGGAGCGGAGCATGCGCGTGGGGGGGGAAGGCATGGAGGAGTTGGCGCTGGGGGGAGCAGCGGGCGGCGTGGGAGGGGTGGGGGGAGGGGGAGGAGGGGGAGGGGGGTTTCAGGGTGGGTATGGGCAGTGGAGGGGGAGTCCACCGGATGGGGCGCAGGGGGGGAGGAGGCGGTATGCGCTGCGATCGGGGAGTTTCATTGAGAGGCGCACTGAGAATGAGTGGTTTGATCACAATGCGTCTGGACCCTTCCCTGCTTCTCCTCATGCTGTTGGTGTTGGTCCTGCTGCTGCTGGTGGTGGTGCCAGTGCTGGTTACTTCAATGCTGCTGATGGTCAGATGGTGGGGGGGTTTAGAGGTTTGTCGCTGGGTTCTGCTGGGTCGAATGCTCTGGGGCGGGTGAATCACCCTGTGGGGCGTGCGACTAGCTATAACAGCAGCACGGGCAGCGCTGCCAGCAGTGGTGCCAGCTCCCCTGCTGCTGGTATTGCTTCTGCTGCTCATGCTGCTGCTAGTGGTGTTGGTAGGGCGCATTCAAAGAGAGCAGAAGGGATGTATGCATCTGGAGGGCCGAGCAGACTGAGTGTGGCACACAACGAAGGGGAGGAGAGGGTAGAGCGAGGGGGAAGAGCAGGAGCAGGAAGAGGGGGTGGCGGAGAACAGATGGAGAAGAAAAAAGCTGGAGAGAAGCAGATGAAGGGTTTGGTGGAAGATGGCAGTGGGAGAAGGGAGGGGAGTGGGAAGGGGAGGAGCCGGGGAGAGGAGCGAGTGAAGGACCTTCGGGCGCAGACGGATAGTGATAGCCACAGCGAGAGGGATAGGGAGAGGAGGAGCGGGAGGCGGAGGAGCGTCAGTAGCAGTGGAAGGGAGAGTGGTAGAGGAGGCAGGAAGAGGAGGGGGAGCAGGGGACGCAGGCGAAGCAGCTCCAGGAGCAGCAGCAGCAGGTCGCGGCGCAAAGACAGCTCTAGGGAGCGAGATGCCGAGCAGAGGAAGGGCAAGGGTGGGCGATCTCGGTGGAAGGACAAGGAAGGGCGGAAGGCGAGGGTGGGAGGAGGCGGGGTGGGGAGTGATAGAGAAAGTCTGACGGCGAGTGCGAGTGAGGTGGAGGAGAGGGACGTGCAGCGGTCCTCGAAGCGAGGAAGGAGGAGGAGGAGCCATCGGCAGTATCATAGGGTGGGAGGCAGCAGCAGGAGTCAGAGTGATTCCCTAAGTGGATCTCAAAGCAGGTCCAGAAGCAGATCTGGAAGCAGGTCTGAAAGCAGGTCCGGAAGCAGGTCCAGAAGCAGGTCTGGAAGCCGAACCAGGAGCAGGTCCGGAAGCAGGTCGTACACCAGCCAGTCCCGAAGCAGAAGCCGATCAGCGTGCGAGCCTGGGACCACCTCCCGTAGCATATCCCATAGCAGATCTCCTAGAAAATCCCGTAGCAGGTCCCGCAGTGGTTCTCAAAGCAGCTTCCGCAGCCATTCGTCGAGGGAAAAGTTGTCAAGCAGGCGAAGGCGTCACAGACGGTCTTGCAGCAGCCAATCAGAACGCAGTGTAAGCCCCAGCCAACGCAGCAGTCGAAGCCGGAGCAATAGCCACAGCAGGAGCTGGAGCAGGAGCAGTCGCGGGAGCCTGAGCCCGAGCAGTACAAGCGATGGGTATAGACGCCGCAGGAGTGACAGCAGGAGCAGGAGCAGGAGCAGGAGTGATAGTGGGAGGGCGAGCAGGAGCAGGAGCAGGAGCAGGAGCAGGAGCAGCAGTAGGGGCAGGAGCAGGAGTGGCAGCAGGGATAGAAGTGGTGAGAGCAGCAGCAGAAGCAGAAGCAGAAGCAGAAGCAGAAGCAGCAGTAGGAGCAGTGAAAGAGCGAGGGAAAGCCAGCGGAGTGAGGCTGAGGGAGGGACAAAGGGCTGGGAGGTTTCAGAAGGTGAAGCTGAAGAATCATGTGCAATCAGGAGAGGGGAGGCGCCTCAGCCAAAGCAGGTGGATGTGAAAGTGAGAGGGCAGAGTGCGAAGGGAGGGAGCAAGGAGAATGGAGCGAGGGGAGAGCGAAAACTGAGTAGTGCAGGGTCACGGACAGAGAGGAGGGAGCGGAGCGAGAGGGAAAAGGGGATAGCGGGAGAGGGAGGGAGGGAGTTGCGTACAGCCGGGTCTCGGAAGGAGAGGCGGGAAGGAAGAGAGGGGAAGGAGGGCGAGGAGGAACAAGGTGAGAGGAAACTGCGCTCTGCAGGCTCTAGGAAGGAGAGAAGGGAGGGAGGAGAGGGTGGAGGAGCGGACATAGTGGGGGGCAGGGAGAGGAAGCTGCACACATCAGGGTCGAGAAAGGAGAGGAGGGAGGGAGGAGAGGGTGGAGGGGACACAAAAGGGGGCGGGGAGAGGAAGCTGCGGAGTGGTGGTTCGAGGAAGGAGCGGCAGGAGGGGCATGAGATGCATGCGAGGCAGAGGGGGCATGGGGACGGCATGCGAGTGGAGGATGGGAGCAAGGCTGCTGGTGGCATTGCTGCTGGTGCTTCTGAGATCAGGCGCTCTGCTCCTGGTGCTGGTGGTACTCGTGCTGGTGTTGCTGGTGTTGCAGGGGGGAGTGCAGCCAGGCCTCACAAGCATCATCCTCACAGCAGCAGTCATCATTCTCACAGCAGCAGCCATTCCCACAGCCACAACCACTCCCACGCACACGCACACGCCAGTGACCACAAGGGGGTGACAGCTGGCAAGCGAGGTGCTGCAGAGACAGGGACAACCCCTGCCTCGGCACCTGCTGCCACCGCCGGTTCTTCCAGCTTTGAATGAGGCAAGGGGGACTGTAGTTGGGAAGGACTCGACGATGGCTAGGGAAGTGCTTTTAGAGAAGGGGGGTCACATACTTGTGAGCTGGTGCTGCTGAGCTGATGCTGCTGTGGTGATGCTTTTTGGGTTGGAATGGCCTGGTTCAGGAAGGACGCTGGCTGCCAGTGGACAAGGAAGAACCATGTGCGCCGCTCCTTGCTTATGTGTGCGTGTGTGCCTGTGTGAGAGCTAGATGGTACAGTGACAAATTGACCAAGAGTCTGTCCCTTGAGATTCTGACAAAATCAACCATCCTGCACAAAATAGCAGAGGATCAGGTGTATACATTCAATGCACAAAAATCTGCGACTAAACAGGGAACAAATTACGGTACGTCCAATGGGATGGACATCACCAGAGCAGCACAGCACAAGATCTGCAAACAGCATCTTCAGTTCTCCCGCCCGCCAAAACCAGGAAATTGGCTTGCTTTCCTCCAGCCAGACTTTTCCCAGAGGCAGCAAATGGAATTTGCCTTTGGCCAAAATAAACAACTCCAGCTGGTGCTTTATCCAGTGCGCAGAATGATGTGCACTCCGCTGTCCGTGTCCACAATGCCGCTCATCTCCCCCACATTGATCCCGAACGTCGCTTCCTCAAACGGTCTCTGCATCTGGCCTCCGCTGAACCAGCCTGAAAGGCGGGATCGGAAGGAAAGAGGAAGGGATGAGAAAAAGAAATGGTGAGAGAGGTTGAGAGAGAGGACGGCGGAGATTTCTAGACTGCACTAGACAAACACCTGTGGTTCCAGCAGTTGTGCTCGTACCTAAGGTCAATGCGTATGCAGCTACTATAACAGCGACTGCACAAATGTCGAAGGCAGTCGAAGGGTACTGTGGACATATGAAGATTCTCTCATAGTGTCTATTTCGTAGTATGTTTCGAACTACACCTCTATGACGAGCCCGCGATGTACTCCGATGCAACTGACGTACCCAGATCTCCATTGTTTCTGGCGGAGCTGCAGTGCGATTCAGTCTTGGCGACCTGGCCGAAGTCCAGCTCGCCACTGGCGATGCGTTCTCTAATCGCCAGCAGCTGCTGAATAGCCGCCTCCTTCGTCGTTCGCCCTATTGTCTCTCCATTGGGATCCTTCCAAGATGCCGGACGGCGAGAGCCTTGGTGCTTGATAAGAATGTGAGAAGCGCGAACTTGAGACATGGTTTCGGAGAACGGCTACGGTATGGCGGGGAATATTTGACGACACCACAGAAATCTGACTAAGAAACGTCCAAATTATTCCAGTGTTAGGACAACGGATATGGGTGTGACTGAAAAACAGCAATCTCGACACAGCAGGAATCTGATGGTTGTACACCCTGTTTCGCGCCACACTGACATTCGCCATACTGACAAGCCGGATGTACTGACATGAATGCGTCCAAATTGGTCCCAGAACATACCATATAAGCACATTTACCGTATACAACCGAACGCAAAAGCACGTTTTCTTCCATGAACCGTTGTTTAACGTTCTCCTGAAGTGCATTTCGGTTACAAGCACCAGCCCGCTGAATCCAAGCACACGTGCGCACTGTAGCCGGGGCTCCCGATTGTCCGAACCTCGAGAAACAGGGTGTAATGAAGAAACGCTTGCAAGGGGGGTCAAAATTGCTCACCTTCGGTCCAATAGAAGCAGTGCTGTGGGATCCAGAGCGGTTTATAGGCTCCACCGCTTTGGACCGCTACCTGCTAGTCTGAATTGTAAAATATCCCGAGGTCATACATCTCGGGAGTGGGTTGGGGAAGCCGCTGTGACTTGGCTATTGTACAAGAAAGTTGCCCTTCGGAATTTGTAGCGAATCCTCTCTTCAGCCAAGGAGGAACTAATGACCTGAGCATGTTCAGTATGCAATTGAGCAGTCTTCCTAGTATTCTAGCAACAGCTGGTGGTACAAGCATACTGCAGCTTACAAGGTAGTACAAATTAACAAAACAGAAGGCATAAAAACTGTACACAAAATGCATTATTACCTAATCTGTTACAGATTGGCCTTGCACAACTCCCAAGGCGTCGTGGGGACGTGGAGGGGGAATGAGCCCAAATGGTCCTACTTGCACATCAAATAGCCGGTTGGAGTTGCATGCAAGCATAAGAAAACTTCCATGCATAGTGCCTCGCTTTGATGGCAAGGGGGTGTAGCTGATGTACTCAAATTCCGAACCAAGATCCAAAATGGGTTGCTTGCCAATAACGCCAGGACCAATAACCTGTGCACCAGAAATGAAAGATAAGGAATCAGCTGTAAAGGGTCCATGATCCTGATGCAGCAATGCAGGTTAATGCTTCTTCCCAGTGCAAGACACAATGCTCATTCTACACTCTTGGTGCTCATATGCACGGACTATACTTCACAACTCCCAAACAGCAACATAACTGACCTCCTGTATGTTCCCGTCGAAGTCCTTAATAACCCACTGCCTGCTGACGAGCTGCACTGGCTCATTCACTCCCTCATTGCGAATGCGGACCTGGAGTGTGGGAAGTGGAATGAGGAAAAAAACAAAAAGATCTTGGTGTTTTTGCAACAAGGACACAAGCAGACAAGAAGTAGAGTGGGTGGGGGGAAGGGGGACTTGGAAGGAATGGAGAGGATGAGGGAGGAAGAGGGAGGAGAGAGGGGAGGGAAGGGGGCAAAGGAATACTTACTCGGTAGTGGTACAGAGCGCCGAAATGTATCTGGTCCATGACTTGAAACTTGCTCTGCACCTCCACTCGGACACCATGGCTCAAATTGTCACTGTGATCGGTGGCAGAGTGTGTCTGCAGCACTGCCAGCCGTCGATTCAACACAGCAAGCAGCGAAAGGGCTTGATCCAGACGTTGACCCCAGTCCTCCTGTCAACGTTCCGGAAAAGAATAGTGACAAACACGGAAAAACGGCAGGCGGAACGTGGAGGGTGAGTGAGATACTTTTCATGCAGAAAGCAGCATGAAGCTGTTCGGTATAAAGCTGTTCCAGTAATCAGAGAGGTTTCTCAACCTAATTCAAACTGAGCTTCACCTAGATTACTTACCTGGGCTTGCACGGAGCCTGGCTCTCCTGTAAGCGGCATTCGAAATTCCTGCCTTAGCAGCGTCAAGGAGGCGTCCCTGCCTCGCTTGATGGCTCGTAAAGCACCTGGCGTGTTGTCCTGCAGCCATGAAACCTCAGACTGCCATGTATTACGGGGATGGAGCGATGAGGAGTGGGGGAAAAACAAGCTATTGCCAAGGGAAAAGATGGAACGACATAGCCGAGCAATGTATTAAAATTACAGAACTACGAAACAAAACAGACGGACTTTGAGGGCACCCGGATTTGACATTCTGGGCGAAAGAAATCAGATTATGGGGACGAAATAGAGATACGACTTCAATTTCACAGGCACGAACCAGAGAGAAGACGTCGGTAGTCTTGTGTCGTTCTATTTCCGATGCGAGCCGTTTCGTCGCCGCGACTAAAGCTCGATATACTGGTCTAACAAGACCATGCCGGTCCGCCATATCCTCTTCAAAACTTGCACGATGTTAGGAAGAGCTGAAAGCGGGAACTGGAGCCTAGAGAATGGACGACAAAAAGCACTCGCGGTTTTTGCGTTGTTCTAAGCAGCTTTTAGACTGACGTCGTGTCCGCTTTCGGGGGAAAGAGAGCCATAATCGTATATCGGTGTGTGTCAACGGTCTGGATAATGACCACTTGAGAGCCACAGCACATTCACCCCATAAACTAGTGTCTCTACTTGTCCTTCTGCTCTGCCATTGCCAGTGGCAGACTGCCACCTTCATCTTTGAATAGTTCACATGGGTGGTGCGAAATCAGGCTCTTCCTTTGCGAACAATGTGCTTGCCATGGCGTACAGATGCTACTAGGTTAGCGAATGTTGACGAAATTGAGGTCAGTGTTCCTGCCAGTTTGAATCAGTGCGTTGCATGGTGTAGTTTCTGCGATGAGGTGAGCGCAACATTCATTGGTTGACAGCCCAATGCCACGTCAACGTGCCTTGTCAGGACTCGGGTCAGGACCACGATGGATACGCGGTGAAAGCATTTACTCATTATCGATTTGAGAGCCCCACCTATAAGAGGTCACGCTCCCTTAGGATCCAGTGCGAAAGAAATTCCCAATCTTCTGCTGATTTCTTTGCTTTCCCTTGTCCCTTCTACTCTTAGTTCTTCCAACTCCACTCTTCTTGACTCCATGCTTCTTTGTCCAACCACCCAGAGCTCCCTTCCTCTCTTCAGGCTCTGGCGACGATTTTATACGTTGTCGGGAGAAGCATGCTAGTAGTCGTTGCTGCTGCTTGACGTCCACAGTTGAGAGATCAAACCCGGAAGAAGCGGGAGAGCGAGAGCTCCCCAAGGCCGAACCGGATGGCTCAGTAAACTCCAAACACAAAACAGGCTGCTCAGTTGCCGGGGCTGCCTCGTCCGTACATTGTTGCACATCCTCCTCGTGTCCCTCACAAGCATCATCACCAACCGCCTCATCCCCACCTGTATTGATGCCATGCACCTGAGCAACCTCATCATCGTTCACCCCGCCACCCCATTCACCCACTCCAATCACCCCGTCATCCCCGCCCCTCCCATCACATCCTCTCACACACCCTCCCACGCCCCCATCATCCCTCCTGCAGTGCCGCACTGCACCCTCTCCAACCGCACCATCATACCATTCTGCCGCCTCTTCGCCTCCCTCCCCTTCTCCCCTACCATTTTCCATCTCTCTCGCCCCCGTACCCTCTCCTCTGCCCTCGTCCCTCTCCCCCCCCCCTCTCCCTCCCTCACTGCAACCACATCTCCCTGTACAACACCGTTTCTCCCTGACCTCTCTGCTTCCAAGTCATCCTCCCTCACAGCACTCCCTTCCCTCCCCGCCCGCACGCGGCCCCTCTCTCCACCACCCTCGCCAGTGACCCTCAACGTTGAGAAAGCCCTTGGCTCCTGTCCGCCGGTGGCACCAACTTTCCTCCGCTTCTGCACTGATGCATGTCCACTCTCACTCCCCGCCTCTCTCTCTGCCGCTTCCTCTGCCTCGTCAGCATCGCTCTGCATCCCTCTCAGTGAGCTCGCCACTCCTCCACCACTCGCCCTTGCCTCCCAGGTACTGCCACCATCTGCTGCTGTGCAGGACGAACCCACTGTCACCGCGTCCACACCACTTCCCACCACATCCACACCACTTTCCACCACCCCCTTTTCTCCACCCATTCTCTTCGCCTTCCGAAACTGGCTCTCACTAATATCCCCATCTTCCATGCCTGTGCGCTCATTCCTCACTCGTCTCTGACCCAGCATCCTCACTAGAGCCCCTTCAACAGCACCCCTCTTGCTGTGTGAACCCAGCCGTCCTCTGCTGCCCCTCACTCTTCCGCCTCCTCTTCCTTGTCCCACTGATTTCCTCCTGAAATCTGTCCGTTCCCCTGTCCCTTGTTCCCCAATTCCCCGCTTTTCTGAACCACGCTCCACTGTTTCCTTCTCCTCTCCAGTACAAGCCTCGCCTTGCTCTTCTATTCTTAATTTCTTACTCTCACGCCGCCCCACTCCTTCACAGCCCTCCTCTCCCTCACTTCCCTTCCCTTCTTCCACTCCTCGTTTCGTCGCCCCTCCCCCACCCATGTCTTCCTTCTCCCTGACCTCCCATGCCCCCCCTTCCATCAGCTCTCATCCCGCATCTTCTTGCCTCTCCGTCTCTCCTTGCCTGTCCGCCTTTCCTTCCTTCTCCATCACCTCCTCCCCCTCGCTATGGGCCACTCTTCTTAACGCAGAGCCTCGACTGAAAGCTCTCAGCAAAGGGGAAGACGAGTCACGCAGTGCTGCAGTGCCATGTGCTGGGCTGCGTGCAATGGGCACACCATGGCCTGACGCATCAGCTGCTGTGCTTGCAGTGCTTGCATGGCATGGCAGGGCGGCATGGCATGGAAGGATGGCACGGCTGGGAGGAGGTGTGGGCGGTGCGTGGCCAGCAGCAGCTGAGCGTGCCGTTCGGCGTGAGAACATCTGATCGATTGACTGCATACCCTGGTGTTCGTGGTTGTGTGTGTGCGGAGTGCATAGGATGAATAAAAACGGATTGGGACGAATTAAAATAAGATGCAATCGAGAGTGCTGAGCGCTTTAAAATAGTTAGCTTTGGTGCGAAACTGGAATGGAGGGATGGGGCTATGTGACAACATGCATACCCATGCATGCCCATGTATGGCTACGACGAGCATGCAGGGTGGGTGACCACCTGGGAGGTGGTGCGGTGCCTGCCTGCTTCTCAAACCCACCTTCACTCTCAGCTGCTCAAATCCCGAGGCTGACAGCGCCAGGCGAGAGCAGGGCGCCCACGCTGACGAAAGTGGCCGGGGAGGGTGAGCAGGGAGAGGGAGATTGCTGGACTGGCGCGTTGAGGGATTGGTGGTGGGATGGTTGGCCTCCTGGTCTTGGTGCTGCTCACTGGACTGCGGATACTGGCCCTGCTGTTGACCATGTTGACTGTTTTGACTCGCTTGACTGGCACCGCCTGCCAGCAGAGTGAGGCCGGCAGTGCAAAGCAGAGCCTGCAGCTTCTGCCTCTCCTCCTCCATCCAACCCCCCTCCCCTTCACACGCGTCCTCTCTCATACCCGCACCCGCACCCACATCCTTTGACCCGCCTTCCACTCCCTCATCTTGCAGAGCCCCCAGCCCTGCCCCCTCTTCCACACGTGCGCTTCTTGAGGGTGCTTCCCCGCCCTCTGCCTCCTTCTCATGCCTCACCTCCTCCTCCTGCCTCACCTCCTCCTCCTGCCTCACCTCCTCCTCCTGCCTCACCTCCTCCTCCTGCCTCACCTCCTCCTCCTGCCTCACCTCCTCCTCCTGCCTCACCTCCTCCTCATGCCTCACCTCCTCCTCATGCCTCACCTCCTCCTCATGCCTCACCTCCTCCTCATGCCTCACCGCCTCGCCAAGCCCCCCTCTCCTCTCCTCAACCTCCTTCCTCGTTTCCTCCTTCCGCTCCTCGCCCCACTCCTTCTCCCCTTCCCTGCACCATCGGTTCACAAACCCCTCGATCACCCTCTCAATGTCTCGGGGCATGCCACACGACCGTGACTTCTCCCCTCCTCCGCCTCCTCCCCACCCACCACTGCCGCCACCACCGTCACTGCCGCCCCTGTAGTGCAGGTGCAGGGAGCGCGGGCAGCGTTTGTTGTCCTTTGCGTCCTTGAGCATGCGAAGGGAGAGATCCTGAGCCAAGATGGCCATCCAGCGACTGTCACAGGGGCGGAAAGGAGGGGTGGAGGCGGGAGGGGGGTGAAGAAACCAGAAAGGAGAGGGACGAAGTCCAGTGGGTGAAGTAGACACAAAGGAGGGGAAGGGAACCAAGAAAGGGGTATCCTCATCAGGTGGGTAAGACCAATTTTTCGTGAAAAAAGAAAGGCCTTGATGAAACGAATATCATGTGGCCTTACCGACCACAGGCTCTCACACCCCTCACTTCGTAATGACGTGGAATCACCAAATGCCATCCCATGCTGACGTGGAATTACCAGATGTCATCCCACGATGACGTGGCATTGAAGGACTTGGCTGCAAGCATGGACTTGGGCACACCCTTCTCCTCCACTGCACCCCGCAATGGGGTTTGGGACGGGAATGGGGACGGGTGGGTGGGCGATGGAGGGGAAGGGAATGGAGATGGGTGGGTGGGCGATGGAGGGGAAGGGAATGGAGATGGGTGGGTGGGCGATGGAGGGGAAGGGAATGGAGATGGGTGGGTGGGTGGGCAATCGAGGGGAAGGGCACGCGGTGTGCAAGACACAGATCAGCACAGCACAGCGCACAGGCAGGGGAATGCAGGAAGTGCAAGTACCTGCAGGAATGAGGCAACAAATCCAACTTGCCTCGCAGAAATGAACGGAAGGGGAAAAAAGCGTGGGGCACACCTGGTGTTTCATCCAGCCCTCTCACAGCCCTCCACACGTAGTTCCCGAGCCTTTCCCCGAACCTGGCTATGAGGTCTGGGAGCTCCAGCGCCTGTGCCTGGCCTGCGGTTGCACAACCCATTGCCTGCAACTCCTGCGAGAGATTCGCATTACAGGCCAGCAGGACTCAGGGGAATCAGCATTAGACCCCATTTCTCCTCCTATGATCAATCAACTTCTCCCTCCCTCCTCACCCCACAAGCAGCCCAAAACCCACCTCGCCCCTCCCACCCACCTCGCCCCTCCCACCCCACCACCACCTCACCCCACCAGCACCCAACCCCACCCGCCGCACCTGCCCCAGTTTGCCGCCCAGATTGCGGATCTTCTTGAGAGGAACGTCCTCCATCAGGGCAGGGACGGCACGAGGTGGCACCTGGGGGAGAACGGGGAGGGAGGAGTGGGATACGGGACAGAGGGTGTACAGTGCGGTGCAGACTGAGTTTGGAGGGTGACAGACAGAGTCAATATTCACAGAGCATTGGACAGTGCACACTGAGAGCAGACGCTACCATCAGCTCACCACGGTGATCCCAAAGGGCTTGGTCAAGGCAGAGGCCATCTTGGCGAGCAGCTTGTAAGTCGACACTCACTCAAGATGGTGACCTGTTCTCACCTCACGATGACTCGAATCAACTCAAAAGATACTCACCACGGTGATCCCAAACGGCTTGGTCATGGCGGAGGCCATCTTGGCGAGCAGCTTGCAGCGCGCCACTCCCACGCTCACCGTGTAGCCCAGCGACGATAGCACTTCCTGTTGAAGACGGTGAGCTATCACCACTCCTGCCTGCAGCCTGGCGGGACAGTAGGGAGGGACAAGAGAGGGGGGGGAACGGAGCGGGGGTGTTTACAAACACTCTTGCAGCGTGCCATTCCCACGCTGACTGTGTACCCCAGCAAAGGCAGCGCCTCCTTCAACAGACGGTGGGCTACCACCACTCCTGCCTGCAGCCTGGCAGGACATACGGGAGGGACAGGGAAACCGCACACCTTCTACCCTGCCATACTTGCTACCAAGGTGAACGCTCTAGCAGCGAGCACAGAGGAGAGGGGGTGATAGGTGAATAGAGAGCAGATGAAGACGGAAGGAGAGGGGTGCCGCACCTTTTTTCCACAATGTCCCGTGCGTCCAAGGGTCCCTCCCGCACCACCAGCCGTGCCTTGGGAACCGCCAGTGCTGATCCTCCGCTCTCTGCCCCTGCATGCTCTCTCTTCGTCTCCCCCACCCGCTGCTGCACCCCATCCTTCCCCTCCCCTTCCTCCCCTAAACCTTCCCCATCCGTTCCACCCCTATCACCACCTCCCTCAGTTTCCTCACCCTTCACTTCAGGTGCATCCCCTGCCTTCGCCTCAGTCCCACTCCCTGCCTTCGCCTCAGTCCCACTCCCTTCCTTCACCTCAGCCCCACTCCCTGCCTTCACTTCAGTCACACTCTCTAACAGCGCCCTCCACTGCTCCTCCCAGACAGCCGCCGGGGAGGTGGCACCTGTGGCGTCGCGAGGCTCATCTGGTGCAGGTGGGACTGCAGGAGGTGGGCGTGAGAGCATGGCATCCACCATAGCAGACACGTCCATGTATGCCTCATCAATGCTCGCGCGCTCTACCGTGGGGCATACGCGGCGGAAGGCAGAGAACACGCGCTGAGAGGCGGCACGGTAGCGCTCCAATGAGACCTTGCCTGCATTGCGGCCTGCTCCTGGCGCCCCCCCCACCGTCTCCACGTGTATCAGCTGCAGCTCCGGACACTGCAGTACCGTGGTGGGTGGGGAGGGAGGGCGAGCGAGGCGAACTCACAATGAATGGCATCCCATTCACAAACACGCCGTGCATGCAATTCACAGCACAGCACAGCACAGCACAGCACAGCACAGCACAGCACAGCACAGCACAGCACAGCACAGCACCGCACAGCACAGCACAGCACAGCACAGCACAGCACAGCACAGCACAGCACAGCACAGCACAGCACAGCACAGCACAGCACAGCACAGCACAGCACCGCACCGCACCGCACAGCACAGCACAGCACAGCACAGCACAGCACAGCACAGCACAGCACAGCACCGCACCGCACAGCACCGCACAGCACAGCACAGCACAGCACAGCACAGCACAGCACAGCACAGCACAGCACAGCACAGCACGTCCACCTTCCTTGGCCTGGTCTTTTACGAATTCTAAAAAAATGCCTGATACATGCGGTGCATGCAATGTATCCCAACCCATAGGCAAGTGTACCTTCTGCTTGGCCTGGAACACGCGGTTGTGCCTCTGCACGCCCCTCGTCCCCACCACACAGGCACACTATGCTCTTGCATGCGCACCGTGCAATGCACAGCCGCACAGCACACACGCGCACAGGCGCACCTTCTGCTTGGCCTGGAACACGCGGTCGTGCCTCTGCACTCCCCTCGCCCTCGCCGCGTAGTTCACTGCGATCAAGCCCTGGCGGTGAGAGAGAGAACGAGCAAGAGAAAGAGGCAGCGACTGGAGGCACGATAAAATGACTCGTAAGGCGCCTCAACACTTGCTTGCGGAGAGAGCAGAGATGATGTGTGAGTCGCCTTGTAAGGAGGTTAGAATGGTTCACTGTTAAGAGTCTTTGCTCAGGCACAGACAAGCGAATGATGAAGGTGTGATCATAGCGTGGAGGTGTGGTGAATGGAGGCATGGCGTGAAATGTGCACGTGCACGTGACATAAATTTGAACGATGGATGGAAGCACTGTCCCCTCACCTCCCACTGCTGCACGGCCAGCGGCTTGTCCCGGGGAATACCAAGCCGCACAGCCTCCACCTGTGAAGCAGGGTCACATGGATGGGGTCAGACATTCATAGTAATGACAAATGCCGAAAAGACACTGTGTTAGACCGCACAGGCGGCAATAGAAACATTAGGAGTCGCAGAATGGAAGGAAAAAATCGAACAGCGAAATGTTATCGGATTGGGAAATGCAAATTACAGACGCGTACTACCCGCTAATACCATCTAACTAGCCCATTCGCCACCAAAACTCAAATCTCGCCAGAGAATCTGCGCGATCGCGAAATAATATAAAGCGCACCGCGGCATAGAAGCAGTCCAGGTCCACGTGGAGGATGACGTGGCCATCCGACGTGGACGAGCTCTCTTTCGGCCGGTCATTCTGACTTCTCGCCATAACCGGAAATCGGTTAGGACTTCAAGAATCACCATACCTGTCCTTAGCGAATGACTCGGCGCACTTTCTAGAGAGCATCAGGAGGAACGACCCAGCAATATCGACCTAGAAATTGGTTTCTGACTGACAGCCATCAAAGGAAGAGTGCGGTTGACGCTTCGTAAGGGCTGCGACTGAACATATTACAGAGCAGTTCGATTGGAGAACGAGGTTCTATCAAGTTCCGCTTGCCTCAACAATTGGTCTAGTAGAAATGCAAATCAAATTTGCATACTCTCATTTGCCAAAGGAGGAACTATTGAATTACCCTGAATGGACGATCTGGGTGCTAATAAAATTTTGGCATTTTTTTCCAGGAGATTGTAACAAATCTGTTTCTTATCACCCTATAACACTATTTTTACCAGCTTAACGTCATCGCCTGGATATAAAACATATAAGTCTTATCATATACACTAAAAACAAATGAAACGTTTGTCCTGTTTTTGAGGCGGTTTTGGGTGTTTTAAAAATCTTATAAATGGACAATTTTTAGATGTACTCAATAGCATTTACAAATGTTGAGATAGTAAGTACGATGAGGAGCCATAGCTAGGGTTGACCTAGCTAGGCAAGAGAGAATGAAGCAAAGGAGGGGTTGCACTAGCAACAATGGTGGTACAAATAGCTAACCCTAGAAGGGTTGTACTCGCTATAGAGCACCCCACTGCAGGCTAGAGCATAATATTCTGACACACCCCCATAGCCAAAGTGGGGTGTAATCAGCAGAGCAAGCAAAGCAGTACAAGCTCAGGGTGGATCACGATTGTCAAACATTGCATGTTTATATTGTGTAGGCTGTAGTGGGTTACACCTTAGGGGGTACACAAAGTTAGGGTTTCCTACTTGTACCAAACTCTGTGCTAGTTCATTCCATTCCTGCTCAGTTATTTCTGACATGGTTTCAGAGCAGGTCCTTCGCTAGGACTGTTCTTAGGGCCCACCGACTTACCTACCTGCTTACCTTCACTTGTTTCCGGCCCCGCTGGCCCCGTCGATCTAGCACGATCTAGCGGCCCTGCGGCCCCGTCGAACTTTTTTTTTTTTTTTTTTTCCTAGCGGCCTCTCACGGCCCCCGTCGCGTCGCCCCTTAGCGCCCCGATCGGCCCCGTCACGCCGCCCGCGAACCGCACAGCGCGCCGCGCTCACAGCCCGCGAACCGCCCACGCACAGCCCGCGAACCGCCTGCGCAGCCCGCGACCAGCCCGCGCAGCCCGCACACAGCCCGCGAACTGCCCGCGAGCAGCCCGCGACCTGCCCGCGAACCCCCGCGAGCCGCCCGCGACCCGCTTACGCAGCCCGCGAGCAGCCCGCGCAGCCCGCGCTGAGCCTGCGCGGCTCGTGCGCTGACCGCCGCCGGCCCGCACGCTGCCCGCACAGCTCACATACGGCCCGCGCGGCCCGCGCACTGCCTGCTACCGGCCCGCCGCTGCTGAGCCCGCCACCGCCCGCGCACCGCCGCTGCTGAGCCCGCCACCGCCCGCGCACCGCCGCTGCTGCGCCCGCCGCTGCCCGCGTATCACCGCTGCTGAGCCCGCCCCTGCTGCGCCGGCTCTCGCTGCCGCCTGCTGCGCCTGTGCACCACTGCAGATCCTGCTACTACACTTCCTGCTACTGCTGCTTGTGCGCCACTACAGTCCGTAGGCCCCACCGGCCCCGCTGACCCTGCGCACGCCTTTTCAGTGACTTTACTGCTTCTACTACTGCCGCTGTCGCTATGGCTAGTCCTCCTGTTCTAGCTTTCGACGCCGAGGGCCGTCCGGTCAAATTCGAAACCTGGCTAGATGACCTGCACCTTTTCCTACAGCTCACTGCCAAGGAAGATATTACTCTGTACGACCACGCTCTCGGCCATGCGACCGCCCCACTCACTACTGCCCCCCCAGCTGAGCGCTCACAGTGGCAGACCCGTGACGCGCACGCTCGCTTTGCTATTCGCAACTCCCTGCCACTAGATGAGCGCGAGCACTTCGGCCAGTGCAAGACTGCTAAGGACCTCTACACAGCTGTAGTGGCCCGCTACTCCTCACCCGCTTCTGCCACACTAGGCCGCCTCACTCTCCCCTACCTGTTCCCCGACCTAGCCTCCTTTCACACTGTCGCAGACCTCATCACCCACCTTAAGACTAGTGAGGCTCGCTTTCGCGCTGCCATGCCTGACGAGTTCCTCGCTAGCAACCCCCCCCCGCTCTGGATCACTCTCTACCACGTTGTCACCCGCCTCCCTGACTCTCTGCGCCCTGTCAGGGACCAGTTCCTCTCTCGCTCCCCCACTGAACTCACCGTAGACCTCCTCGAGAAGGAACTGCTTGCAGCCGAGACTAGTATCGTCGCTGTAGGCACCTCTCGTGGCGACCCCCGCGGCCCCTTCTTCGAGGGGTGCTCCCCTTCCCCCCTCCTCCCCTCTGTCGCCTCTGCTGCTGCTGTCGACCTCCTTGGTGCTGAGAAGGTCGGGGCTGCGTCTGCTTCAGGCGGACGACGCAGGGGCAGGAGTGGCAGGAGTGGGGGTGGTGGCGGAGGAGGCGGGAGTGGAGGTGGTGGCGGTGGAGGTGCGACTGGAGAGGCTAGTGGCGGCAGTGGTGGAGGTGACAGCGGCGGTGGGAGTGGTGACAGGGGCGGAGGTGGCATCGGAGGCGGAGGTGGTCGTGGCAGCGGCAGGGGTGGAGGTGGCCGGGGCGGAGGCGGCGGGGGTGGTGGTCGTGGAGGCCCGGGGGGCGGTCAGAGTCAGCAGCCTGCCCCGACCCTTCAGGCCGCCCGTGAGTGGTATGCGCGGCGCAGCGTCACCTGCCAGTACGTTATTCGCACAGGTGACCGCACTGGCCAGACGTGTGGGGGGCCGCACCAGACGGAGCGCTGCTTCGCCCGCCTCAACGACGCGTGGCGCACCCAGTTTCCTGGTGGGGGTGAGCTGCCGCGCTGGGCTGAGCTGCTCAGGAAGGGTGTTGATATTTGGGCACTAGACTTTGATGCTATCCTCACTGCCATGTATGCGATGTCTATTAGTGGAGAGGGTGCTCAGTACTTGCGTGTTCCGCCCGACCCGGGCATTCAGGCCAGCCCCGCTGCTGCTCTAGGTGCTAGTGTGTCTGCTCCCACAGGTACTACTGCAGCTGCTGCTCTAGGTGCTTGTGCGTCTGTGCCCCCTGGTACTGAGTTGACTGCAGCACTGCACACCTTCACACTGGACTCAGGTGCTTCTCGCTCTTTCTTTCGTGACCGCACTGTCCTTGAGCCTCTAGCTCGGCCGGTTGCTGTCTCTCTTGCTGACCCCTCTGGGGGTCCGGTCCTTGCGACCTCCTCCACCACCCTTCCGTGTCCAGCGGTTCCGTCCGGCACGCTCTCAGGTCTCTACCTCCCCTCGTTCTCCACGAACTTGGTGGCAGGTAGTGCGCTCCAGGACGGGGGTGTTCACCAGTTCACCCCTGCCTACGAGCGTGTGACTCACTGCACATGTGCTCGGACGGGCCGCCACCTAGCTACTTTCACTCGAGAGCCGGGGTCTGACCTGTACACACTGACCACTGAGTCCCCTCAGGTAGCTGCGTCTGCGTCAGCGTCAGGTCAGCTGTCCGCCCCCTGCTCGTGTCGCTCTCTGGCGAACGACACCGTCCTCTGGCACCACCGCCTTGGTCACCCGTCTGTGCAGCGCCTGCGGGCCATGCACAAACGGGACCTTGTTGCTGGTCTTCCCAGGGTACTCCCTCCCCTTCCTGACTCCCCTGCTCCTGACTGCATTCCCTGTGTCGAGGGGCGGCAGCGCGCCGCTCCTCACTCCTCCTCCTTTCCCCCGACGACCGCTCCCCTGCAGACGCTCCACATGGACGTGTGGGGCCCAGCCCGCGTCCGTGGTCAGGGTCAGGAGAGGTACTTCCTGATAGTTGTTGACGACTACTCGCGCTACACCACGGTCTTCCCCTTGCGCGCCAAGGGTGACGTCCCTGGTGTTTTGATCCCCTGGATCAGCCGAGCCCGTCTCCAGCTAGGCGAGCGCTTTCACTCGGACTTTCCTGTCCTGCGCTTGCACTCTGACAGAGGTGGTGAGTTTGCCTCCGACCTCCTGGCAGCCTACTGTGCTGAGCACGGCATTGAGCAGTCGTACACGCTTCCGGCCTCTCCACAGCAGAATGGGGTTGCTGAGCGCCGCATTGGCTTAGTCATGGAGGTCGCTCGTACCTCCCTGACCCATGCGGCTGCTCCCCACTTTCTGTGGCCGTTTGCGGTCCGGTACGCTGCGCATCAGCTCAACCTCTGGCCCCGTGTCTCCTTGCCGGAGACTTCCCCGACTCTGCGGTGGACGGGAGAGGTTGGCGATGCGTCGCGTTTCCGGGTGTGGGGATCCCGAGCTTTTGTCCGCGACACGTCTGTGGACAAGCTCTCCCGTCGCGCTCTTCCCTGTGTCTTCCTTGGCTTTGTTCCCGACGCGCCTGGATGGCAGTTTTACCACGTCACCTCGCGCCGGGTTCTGGCCTCTCAGGACGTCACTTTTGACGAGTCCGTCCCCTTCTACCGCCTCTTCCCCTACCGCACTGCCCCGCTCCCCCCCCCGCCTCTCTTCCTCGCTCCAGGTGCTGAGGTACCAGACCCCCTCCCCCCTCAGGGTGCCGCTCCCTCAGGTGTGTCCCAGGTAGACCCGGGTGAGCCTGTCGAGGTAGCTGTTGACTCGAGTCCTGCGTCTGGGGGTGCTGAGCCTGGGAGTGCTGCGTCTGAGGGTGCGGAGCCTGGGGGTGCTGAGCCTGGAGGTGCGGAGCCTGGGGGTGCGGAGCCTGGAGGTGCGGAGCCTGGAGGTGCGGAGCCTGGAGGTACTGAGCCTGGGGGTGCTGAGTCTGGACGTGCTGAGTCTGGGGGTGCTGAGTCTGGGGGTGCTGAGTCTGGGGGTGCTGAGCCTGAGCGTGCTCCACCTGGAGGAGCCCTC